TTTATATTCTAGAAATTATTTTATCAACTATCATTCATTATCATTCTACGGAAAGCCTCCCAATAATTAAGTGTATTCTGAAATCAGTAGCAATCATATAACTTCCATGTATAAATTATCGATAAAACTCACCCTCGAAGTCTAGTGCCATTAGGCAGAATTTTCTCCATACCACCCAGAAGTAAGCAGAGTATAGCCTTTTTAATATAATCATGTCCATGTATAGAGGGTGCCAATGACTTGGAGAGCAATTCAAACATATCTGTACTTCCGCGCTTGGCTAACCTCTTGCAGAGCTTTACATCCTCTAAAGTAATATTCATGTTCATATCCTTGTTTATTTGTGTTACATTGTTTGCTATTAGAATCGTCCTGTAAATATATAATACAATTAATTATAGTATAATTTAAGGTGATTTAGGCTGATTATTTCTTATATTGATTGATTACTTCATATAAAAGATAAAAGAAGACATTTTCAGCAACTAATAAAGTGTAAAGATATTTAAACTTAATTAGTTAGATCAATTAGACAATGTCTACTTTAGTTTTTGCCAGAATCTAACTTGAATTAAATAATTACACTTTTAAATCAATATGAGTAAGATTCTCATTAGTTAAAAAGTTTTGAGCATGCTAAATTTATGCTGAAAGTAAGGGTCTGGTCAGAAAAGAAAACATGAATCACAGTTATTATTAACCTGAAAGTTCCAGCTGTAAAACTGCCCTGTTTGTTGGGCAAACAGCGGTAGTTGCCTACAATCTGTACTCTGTCTCCAGGCTTGCACTTGTCAACTAAGTCATCATCACAAATGATGTCCACACTCCTGGGTAATTGACCAGCAGGAGCCCGCTCTGGCATCTCCTGGACTGTCAAAGTTTGATGATCCTTGTAGCGAGAGAGACCATACTCTGTCTCCAAGGGATTGCCTTCATCATCCTGAAAGAAAAAATAATGTGTGTACATTAATTTTTAAAAGTAACTTAAAGGTAACAAAACTCTACCGACATGGACTAGTAATTAAAACTAAGTTCACAGACTTGGCAGAATTATACACATTAATGAATCAGTTATGTAAATTTTATGTTCCACTTACCTTAGTTGGGTATATTGCTGAGGTGGGAAAGGCTTCAAAAGAAGTCAGATCAGTATATTTTCTCTCCATAACCTTCTTTGTGGCTGGACAATAGTGCACACTGCGAACTACCTTAGGTCGCACAAGGGATACCCTAGTCACAATACCTTCCACGCATATTAAGTTACCCAAGTACCTGGAAAGTTGAAAATACTGATGGGCCGAGTCGTCTTTTTGATAACTCGAGTAACTCGAGTTGACCTGATAACCAACTCGGGCTGCAACTCGAGTTGACTCGACCCGATCTGCCATAAGATACGTCGCGTTGTCCGGGTTGTCCGTTCGAGTCAGTAAACGCTCGACTCGGTGCATCGTTCTGCGGGTTGCTAGTTTGCTTGTCGAGCCCGACGGGCTGTGTGGGGTCGAGTCCATGCTAATGATAGTCAAATAAAATAAGTTTGTCAGACTTTAATGTTATTGAAAGTTGTAAGATTGGGCCAACAGCTTCACTATATTGTATAATGTGTTTTTTTTAGGTGGTTCACTAAGGTACTCGTATTTCCACTAAATTTGTATTGACTAGAACACAAATTGCATTGTACTTTAGTATTATTGTCTATTTTCGAAAAAAACTCCCACGCCACACTTTTCCTGTTTCCCGGAGCCATTCTAAAGTTATTAATCAGACAAACAAAACTTAATAAACTAATAATACCGCAACAAAACAATAAATTACGAACTAAGTAGTAATAACAAAAACGTAAACAAAACAAATATCTATTCTTTTGTGTTAAAACTCTGTCATTTGTTCGCCGAAGACGAGAACTATCTCTTTCACTCGCGGCTCGCGGCTCGGTCGACGCGACTACGTTTCGTTGTTCGTGCTGACTCGGGCTCGCTCGGTGTCGTTCGGGCCTAGCGAATCGCGGGCTAGGCGGCGAGCGGGCGGCGGCGTCGAGTCGAGCCGAGCGGCGCGCGGCGGGCTGGCAACCTACCCGCCCCGCTCGCCACCGCGCGCGCTCTTCGGTTCAACCCGAGTTGCAGAAATATTAACTCGGGCTGACTCGCTCACGGTCTGACTCGAGTTGCCCGAGTTAGATAACTCGAGTTGCCCATCACTAGTTGAAAATTATTGTATATCAAAATATGCTTTTCAACTACAACCAAAATAATAGACTGTAAATATTTACAAAACATACCTTGATGTCAAACTCCTAGGTGTAACATGTTTGTTGCCGAAGCTACCGTTAAATGCGACAAAAAATTCCTCTTGAATCTTCGCGTACGTAGGGTCAATAGAAGAAACATATTCTTTAAGAGCTTTTTGGAATGCTATCTGTTCTTCAAAGGCATTGTCAAGCAAATTACGAGCACGCTCTGGGTTTTTACGCCGAAGATCATTAACGCTGACAACTAACCGCTGCGATTTATCAGCTATCATTTGCTTCACCTTTTCCATATAAATCCCTTGATCTTCCTTAAAGTTTATCAAACAACGATTAAAAAAGACAAAGAACTTTAACACCGGTTCAAAACATTAAGGTTAGTTCGAATCTTACCTCATCGTCCAAGAACTCAAGATATTCTCTCTGTAAATCTCTTAAACGTTGATCAAAATCGCCTTCTTCCATTTTATAATTGATTAAACCTACTTGCTACGGTCAATATTAACACCACAAACCAAGACTATCCAAGTTTTCAATTTTCAGTGTAACAAAACAATCTGACGTTTGCTTAGCTTTTGGCGCCAAAAATATGTGGTGTTACATTTTTTTTTTTTTTTTTTTTGGAGTTTATGGCCTGGATACGAGTTCTTTAAGCCAAGGTGTTACATTTAGTGTCAGTAACTAGTGCTGTATAAATCATTTTACAAAAAATTAGTCGATTACCAAAAACAACTGTTAAGTAATTCTTATTTTTATAAGAAGTGACTTCCATTATTAAGAAATTTGAGGAATATTTGTTAATTATTCATGGAATATGGACACGTATGTTACCTACGTGATAAATGTTTTTTTTATTTTCTCTTCCATTTATAAGACCACAGCGTCCCGGACCTTTGGGAGACGGACGAGCGTCCGAAACCAACTCGCGAAGGCACTTAGAACAACTTTATTATTATGAAATGAACATCAACCGGCAATTACCCCTGTGCGGACTATGAATGTGCACCCAATGACAATCCCCGGTTGATGCAGGACTATTGTGAAAAGTGGTGAAAATTGATCGAGTTTTGGGTATGGATTGCTATGGACGACAACTATGGAAATACCGCAGCCCCTATCCCCGACCAATATTTATAAATACGGATAAGGGGTGACTGGCAAACTCAATAAATTGCTAGCATGTAGCGACACGGGGGCAACATACGTTGAACTGCTTGGGGAAAGAGAGGCATCTCACGGCTATCAGAGCAATTCCGGAAGTACGGTCAAGTCTGCTCATAGCATCTTATTGACATACCTCCTTCTCCCGAGTCCTTCAACACCTACTGTTGCGAATCTCCACTCAAGTGAGCCAATTAAGGCAAGAATGAGGTAAGACGACTTGTTCCTCATCAGTGTTCACACCAGCTGGTCACGAGGACTAACCGGAGATGAAAAACAAGACACTTCCCGGGTGTCAGGTCCGTGGGGTCGCCACTGCTTAGTAAAAGTATAAAACAGCCGAAGTCCTCTACTGTAAAGTTTCCTTCACATGACAATTTTTGAACGGTAAAAAATCATCAAATTGTGTTCTCTAATTGCCCTAGGTGGTCTGTGAAAGACTTTTAATTTAAATTACTTAAAACCACTTTATTTCTTTTCCTGCTCTGAGCCGGGCCGCGGTACATGGCACTTAAACCTGCGGTACATTCATTGACCTCGGCTGGACATCAGCTCTATTATATCCCTACTGTAGTAGCAGGTTATGCTTACGCTATGCTCGCGTCTGATTCTGATCGAGTGGCGAGGTAACCTTGTTCGTCGTCTTTAGGCTCGCGCTTACAGTGGCCGGAGATAGTCGCACGATTGAAGATTATTCCCTCGTGCATTAAGATAATCGTTGTTTTCATTTCGCCATAAAAAGCTAGTAGCTAGCAGTAGCTAGCAGTAGCAGCGCGACGGTCGCCGAGTCGCGTGTCGCGGAATGCTGCTCATGAATATGGGCCTCTAGCATGGCTTGAAACTAGTCGAGTATCTCGTCAAATTATTACGTGAGTAAGCCGAAAACATAATAAATAATTTAGAATGTCTCACGAAAGTTTTAATAAAAAAAGCTAGCAGCGCTAAAGCTCATCCCGCAACGCATTAATCTTCAGCGGTAGCAGAGTTTCTCCCCATTGCCAGGCCACAGCATTAAAACATAATACGAGCGCGAGCGCCTTCGGCTTAAAAAGCTTAGCGTTGATCTGGTAAGGAGGTTTGCTATCTCCACGGAGAATGCATAAATAATTAGAATAAATCCAGAAAAAGCAAAAACAAACTATACTATCTTATATATTTCGGTATTTCCAATCAACAACAGATTAAGAGCTGAATTGCAAAATTTGAAATAAAATAAATATTAATAACGATTGTTTCCAGATGAATTAAAAATGCAAGTGAAAATCATTCTTCTTGTAAGCGTATGCTTGATTACACATTTACATACACATTGTACATTATCAAATTTAATCAGTTTTTTTTATTTACGCTTCTACTAACACAAAAATATAGGCATTTTATTTTTGACCTCACTTTACACATCAGTGTCTCATTACCTTATTTTTTAGTTTTCTACTACTTTATACGTAGGTATGAGATTAGGAGTTTTTGATATTATACATAATACAAAAACATTAATAATTAATGAATTCATTAAGTGTTTTATCCGAGTGTAGGTAGTCGATTCTATTTTCTCCTTACTAGACAGCCTGTCTGTCATTTAAATGAACGTTCCATTAAAAACAAATTTTAGGGGGCATTCCAGATCATACCGTATCCGTATATAAATACCAAAACGTGGTGCTTCCCGGCTGTCATTTTTATAATAAGTAGAGTAGCCTGTAACATCTGTTGTCGAATAGGAAATAAGAATATTTCTTATTATATGAATATAATAACCTTCGGTGTTGCTCTGGGAATAAATAACTATAGGTATATGAAATTGTGTAAATGTGATTAACGTAATCAAAATAAGGCAAAATGTCCGAGTCCGAAAACAGTACAAGTGATCCTCAATTAAATCACACTCCTGTCGCTTCCACTACTTCCAATCACTCACCGGCGGCGTCGGCTTCAAATTCAAGCGCCATACCATCAGCTTCAACGTCAAGCGACACGCCGTCAGCTTCAACTTCAAGCGAAACCCCATCGGGCTCAGCTGTAAGCCAAATCCCGTCGGGTTCAACTTTAAGCGAAACACCATCGACTTCAACATCGAGCCAAATACCTTCTGCTTCAGGTTCAAGCCAAGCACCATCAAATTTAACTTTAAATGAATCTGCGTCAACTAGTAACCCATCAACATCGCAGTGCACAGAACAAAAGAATAAGAAAATTGATCCGCTGAAGTTAAAAATTCTGTGCTTGCATGGCTACATGCAAAATGCAAAGAAATTTAAAGCTAAATTGGGTGCTTTCCGTAAACTTGTTGACAAGTATGCGTACCTTGTGTTTATGTCAGCTCCACATGTTGTTGGCGATTCTACAGGAAGGGGTGATGAAGGTAATTTACACAAACTTTTAAACTTTTGTCATGTTTGTTTTTTGTGTTGTCAATCAATACCCATCTTTCCTTTTTGAATAAACACCAATATTTGCTTGAATGGAAAATTCTTAAGATTTTCAAACTACCTTCTTTCGTTATTATGTTATAGTATTGTTATTCAATTTTCTGTCATTTACTTCAGTTTGTGCATAAGCTAGGTGAATATCTGCCTCCGGGACATGTGGGTTCAATTCTCAGATGGAAGATTTCTTACTCACAAATAATTATAAGTATTTCTGGATCCAGGTATAATGTGTGTGGGTATTTGTAATTGAGAACATCATGCTCTCACGATGATCACACATGAAACAGGAACCAGTTTGCAAGAAAGTAAATAATTGGAAATAAAATGTTTTAATAAGGTATTTTTTTACACATCCACAGATACCGCCAGGTCATGGTGGTTTAACGCTGAGGACAATACCTATAGTGGGAAATGCCTTGGTGGTCCAGCTATAGGATTTGAACAAACATTAGAGGCAATAAGGCTAGCAGTTGTAGAACATGGCCCATTTGATGGGTTGATGGGCTTCTCACAAGGAGCCTGTCTTGTGGGTATACTAGCTTCGATGCAACAGAAAGAATGTAAGTGTTTTAACTAAGCTAAAGATAATAATGTTTTAACTTTTGTCGGTAAAATGTTTGTATACAATTTAGTGAAATCATGTTTACCCTCTCTTTGTTTCAGTATTGCCATTCAAATTCAAATTTGCTATGATTATATCAGGTTTCTGCTCTGAAAGTCTTGTTCATAAGGGATTCTATGACCAAATCATTAACTTGCCATCTTTACATGTGTATGGAGAAGGAGATTCTACCATACCTAAAGGTAACTAAAACATTTAAACTTTGATTTCATCAATATAATAGGGATTAATAAAATGTTAATAAAATTTCTTTTTTATTTGCAGAAATGAGTGAATCCCTTATCAACTTATTTAGGTCCCCTGTAGTAGTTGAGCATACCGATGGCCATTATGTTCCGACTACAGGTGCTGTCAAAGCGGCCTATGAAGATTTTCTAGCTGAAATGTACCAGCAAAGGCTAATAGACAAGCAAGAAGCTGAGCGGACAGCAGAATAGCCAACCCTCTTTGAAGCTCATCCCATGCTTACCAGCCTTCTGTTGGCAGATAGTGAAATACCAGATGTTCCCCTTTATAGACTTAGCCCTAGTTATCAGGTGCATAAACCTCCGAACCCATAGACTCATTGTCTGGTTTTTACGAAGGATTCGGTAAAACATTGCGCGTGTAAATAGTGTAGCGGCGCCTCATCGAGCGCGGGAACGCTAACGTTGTCAAATGTTTAGCCTACATGCGCCGTCTGTCGGTTATGACGGGGATTGGGGATCATTACCCTTTTGACTGCCGGTGTAGATCTATGCTCCGGTATACCAAGGGTCAAGAGGAAAGAACTAAGATGTGGCTGCAGGATGATCTATTAAAGAGGGGTATTCTTTCTCTACAGAATAAAATTGCCTTAGTTGACAACAATGACAATGTCGAGTTATGGCAGCAGTGATGTATGTAATGTAATGTATTGTAATTAATTAATTGTTTAAGTAAAATGGATGACTGCTACTCTAGAAGGTCTTTCATTATACCCTCAAATAACCTATGTTCTGTTGGGTCGCCTGGCTTCACATGGCTTTTTGGTCGAAGTCGCGAGTCCTCCCCACCATAACAATATATTATTTAAGAATGTTCTCTGTAGTTTGACTAAATAGGTTTTTTGTATTTCTCTGCTTGAAATAACTAAAATTAAGTTTGGTTAATTTGGCCAAGTCGCCAGTTATACCTGCTCATGTTTATGAGCCGCAAAAAGCAATCTCCTCTAATTAAAAATACAAATAACACATAACGTACCTACACACAAAAATTTATCAAATAGTCTAAATAAATAGAATTTCCCAAAGCTGATTTGAAGTGTGTATCGTCGAATACTGTAGGTGCTAGACATTTTCTACCTACCCACCTACCCTAATTAAATCTGAGGTTACAATAATGGGACGAAAAATAATGTTTAGAGACAGACTACATAGTGTGCAGTTTACCATTAGGTACCCAAATAGTATAAAAAGTAAGTAGGGACTTATAGGATAATATTTTTTACACGGCTACCGGAAGTTCAGCAATCTACCTTCGACTGTCTGAGAAGTTTAACATAATTTGGACTATTCGCTGCGGTGACATCTAAGTTAAGGCCCTCAGCCTGGTTAAATAAAACTACTTAATTATTTAAATGACCTCGTCGCTGAGGACACCTGTAGGCTTCGAAGGCTGTAGTGGTTTTTTATGGCGTAAGCTGTAATGTTGTATAAGTACGTAAATATTCTTAATAAATAAATAAATCTTGCATCTCCGGTCCGTCACATAAGTATAGAGTAATATAATACAATGTGGGTTTCTATCCAATTTCTACCCAATTGTGTCATTCGATACCAGCAGGTTTCTTAATAAGTACTTAATAATATTACCTAGCTACCTACCTACTCTTTGCCAATAGGGGCGCAGTAAGGTTGTGTGGTGCACCCAAGACTATCACTTGCATTTGGCTTTTGTGATATACATTCAAATTCATTGTATATACGAATGAATAGATCAAGTTAAAGAGTGGCATAAAAGAAGTCATTTCTCTAACTCACATCTAAGAATAGCGTAATTCGTTCCTAACAATCCAAAACTTACGACCAATTTTTGTTATATTAGTGATAATTCATATAATCCTTACTTCACACTTGTGTAACTGAGGTTTATGGCATTGATATTGATATACAACGGGGGAACACAACGGGAAGGATTACCTGATTGTAGGCACAGATGTATACTACTTCTACACTTCTACTAATGCCTTTATACGTCTTGGCTTGGTGTAGTGTGTCATAGTTCCTAATTATGGTTTTTACTGTATAAATAAGATATGTTCAGTAGAAAAAACCTGTACTAACTCATTATTTACTATAACATATCAGTCGTTGTTCAAATTTTGTAATAATTTATTTTATTATAAATGAGGTTCAAATTCAATTTAGGATTTCAGTACCTAATTTCAATTTAGTAACAAAATGTTATCGTGATCAATATCGGGACTGCCCATGGAGGAATTATATGGTGCGGCGTTCCGCAGGGTTCGGTGTTGGGTCCGCTCTTGTGGAACGTTGGTTACGACTGGGCTCTGCGCGGTGCGCTACTCCACGGCGTCGGCGTCATTTGTTACGCCGACGATACTCTAGTTACAGCGCGTGGAAAGTCGTACCGGCAGGCAGCCATACGCGCGACTGCTGGTGTCGCGCACGTCGTGGGTAGGATCCGGCGGCTGGGCTTAGAGGTGGCATTGCACAAATCGGAGGCCCTGTGTTTTCATGGGCCGAGGATGAAGCCGCCTCAAGGATCCAGCATCATAGTAGGAGGGGTTTCCATCGCTGTTGAGTCCACGATGAAGTACCTCGGACTCGTTCTCGACAGTCGGTGGAATTTCGGGCTGCACTTTACACAGCTCGCCACCCAGTTGATGGGCGCCGCTGCTGCGCTGTCGCGCTTGCTCCCCAACCAGGGGGGCCTATCTCCTCCTGCCGGAGGCTCTACATGGGGGCGTACGGTCGATGGCTTTATACGCCGCGCCAGTATGGGCGGACGCCCTGACGGCCCGCAACATCGCCGCGCTGCGAAGGCCACAGCGCGCGATGGCCGTCAGGATAATAAGGGGGTACTGTACGATCTCCATTGAGGCAGCGAGCCTCCTAGCCGGATCCCCTCCCTGGGTGGGACTATGACGCAAAACTTCTCGCGTCGCTCTATTGGTGGCGCGCGGAGGCACTCGAGGGGGGCGAACGCCTGGTGCCTCGACAGGTTGAGGCACGCAGGGAAGAACTCCGCCAGGCCTTAGTGGCGGAGTGGCAGACGCGTTTAGCGCAACCCACGGCGGGGCACGCCGCTATAGCGGCGGTAAGGCCCGTTCTAGAGGAGTTGCTCAATAGGAGCCACGGCGCCCTCAGCTTCCGGCTGACGCAGGTGCTTACCGGACAAGGGTGTTTTGGGAAGTACCTGTGTTGCATAGGTCGGGAGCAGACGTCTCAGTGCCACCATTGTGGTGATTGCCGCGACGATACGGCGCTGCATACCTTGGTGGAGTGACCAGCAGCAGGCCTCGAGGCGGCGGCGCCGTGTTTCGCTCTCGCCTCATAGTGGAGTCCTGCGGTCAGGGTGACGGCCGCAGTGGGTGACGAGGCCCGTCTTACCATCTGGCGGGCCAATACCCATCGGGGGGTTGCGACGAATGCTTCGGCGATACCCGCCCCTCCGACACATGGGTAAGTGGAGGAACACCGGGTAGGTTTTTAGTCAGTAAGTGAAGAAAAAATAAAGTACCCTTCGCCCTTCCCCGAGGGCGATGGGTCTCCACGAGGATTTTCCAACACGAAACAAAAAAAAAATGGATGAATTATATAGTCTGCAAATACCTACCGACGAGACTCCTATGACTGCGCGGAAATATATATTGTTATGTATCGCTAGAGTAAAATGTTCCTCTTCCTTCGTTTCTGAACTCTCTGTCAGTGTCAATTTACTATCAATGAAACGTACACAACAAACACAACGTTGTTTATGCTTAGAGGTTATGTTATTGAAATTAGATTTTTAAATTTTTATTTTAAATGTTATTTTCGACAAGAAACTATGCAAATCGAATCTAAAATGTGGAGAAGATATTTAATGTGGTTTGCTCACGAACACATCGATTTTCGTCATGCTGTAAGTTTTGTAAACATCAAAAGGCCTGATATGATACTTTTGAATGAAAACGTGAACCTCACTACAAGTTATTGTTTGTGTATTTCAGGAAATGCAAAGTATTATATCGTTACTAAACATTCCGATAAGGTATGTAGAAAAACCATGCGTTCAGAAGCCGTATTGTATTGTGGAATTGCCTTCAGAAGACTGTGTCAGAAAGATTGCTTCTCGGTCAGTACTTTTGAAAAACTGTATAGAGTTGTGGGCTAGAGCTAAAACTGTGTCACAATTACACGTGAACTTGAAGAATTCGTTGAAAAATTCGACAGGTAGTTGGGTTGCAGGGGAAAAAGATAATGATGGAGTAAGCAGTACTTGTTTGTGCCCTAAAGAATTGATAGAATCAAGTTGTCCTCTTAAGAAATCCTTTAAGATCGAAGTTGAGACTTTTTGCAAGCATTTCTCTATGCAGGAGAAGGTTTCAAAAATTGAAGTAAGTATTATTTTATACTTGCTTCTATTTTAATAAATTATAATAACTTAAACGAGGTTATCAAGCATGTTGCTTTCAAGTTCAAAGTAATACTGATTGATAAAGAATACCATATTATTATGGCATTTAAGTTCACCTTATGTACAATAATTTTTATGTTGTCTATCTGTATAAAAGCTTGGTAAGAAATAAACAAAACTAGATTGAAAGTTGCTGTAACTAAAATATATGCTATGGCTAGATATTAATAATCTGTATTAAAATCATTATTTATTACTTTTTTAGACATTCAGCTATTTACCATTAGAAGGTCCGGTAAAGTTAAAAAATCCAGATGTGACCCTAGCCTATTTGGAATTTTATGGTGTTGATCCAAATGATGTTCCAGAAGAGCCCTATGATGTCTTCTTTGGGAAATGGGTAAGACAAGTTTTATTTTTCATACAGCTATTATGATCATTGTGATGATCTTTAGTTAATTCAATCCAATTTGTCATATCAACAATTTTCTCTGAATTGTGTGTGATTTTTTTTGTGAATGGAAAATCATCAAATGGCTTTTCCCGCCCGGGGTTGGGACTTTGGGAGTGTCAGACTCTTACTGACTAAAAACCATTCCTGCTTCCACTCTGCCATAAGATCTCGCCGGAACTCATTCCGCCACACACAAATCTGGCGCGGCAGAGGATCAACGCCCCGGCGACGCGCGCAAACTGTAGACGCGCGAGAGTGTCTTTGCTTCCAGATCCCACGGCGGTGATCCGGCAAGGAGGTTCACCGCCTCCCCGGAGATCGTGCGATATCCGCGGATTGGATTGTGTGTGATGACATTTATAGCAAATGATGATGTTTAATTGCTAGATGAAAGTAGACTTAATGCTGAAGATGGGAAGTATATTTGGGGTAAAATTTAAAGATTAAGTAAAAAAATAGCTTAACTAGGGATTTAAAGTTGATTGAATTAAAGATTTAGTGACAAAAATAGGAAAGGAATATTGAAAGAATGGATGGACGAAATGTGTTTATCGAACAGCCAGGAGAGTCGGTCCTAGACTGACGTATTTTCAAAAGGGGTAAAATTAAAATGGGAGACAGGCAGGACAATATACATACATGTAAGTGTAGAAATAAAATCAAGATCAATGTATGATGTTGGTTGTGTAAAGAAACCAGAGACTATGTATTAAGAATTTTAAATATCTGCTATGACTTGGCTTTCTGACATGCAGATAGCAGATGGTCAACGTGACCTGATCCAGGTCCATTCGTTGAAGAAGCGGCAGTTTATTGGGAACACCAGCATGGATGCGCAGCTGGCCATCATCATGGCTAACCAGGCTCAAGTGAAGCTCGGTGATATGGTACTGGATCCCTTCGTCGGTTCAGGGTCTCTTCTTGTCGCAGCGGCACATTTTGGAGGTAGAAATGTTGTTTTTTCCATTTAATAATAGGACCGCCAAAGTTTTTTTTTTATATGAGAGATAGATGGCTGTTTGTTACTCTTCCTGGTAACGACTACTAAAAGGTTTAACCCCTGCAACGCCAGAGTAGTTACGAGTGCGTTGCCAACCCTTCGGTGATTAGGGATTTGGAGATTATGGGATTGGGGAGGGGCAGGATTTGGCTCGCTTTGCCTTGTGATTGACATAACGAACGAATGATCTTTCAGCACATTCAACGTTCAGCGGTTCAGTTTATACTGGTTATGCATTGCTTGATGTGTAGGCGTGTGTACGGTTTGTCGTTTCAAAGAGAAAATTCAACTGAAATATCATATATGTGTTCCTAATTATTTTGCCTAAGTTGTGTGTATATATTTGTAGCGTATGTGTGGGGCTCCGACATCGACTACATGATGCTTCACGCGAGGACACGCCCCACTCGCGTCGGCCAAAAGGTAACAAAGTATGTGTTGCGAAGGTTAAGGTGCTTTTTCAATATTACATCTCTTGTAAAATTAAATATTTGACTACTCTTGATAATAATTAGGTAGTTCCCCAATAGTCAAATTGAATGTTTTTTTTTATTTGTGCGATAAATGTGTAAATTTATTTATTTAAGTTTCGTTAATAACCTTTCAATTGTAGTAGAGACACAATAGAAGAACAATGGGTGTTTGGTGAATTAATGAATGTAATGGTAAAACTTGTACCTACGTATTTTTAAATATAATATTATTGTTGTATCGAAAATTCTAAAAGAATTGGCTTTTTACAGAGGAGACTACCTAATCATTTATAGGGATTCTTTTTATATTTTTTCCTGTTTTATTATTGTATTTTCAACAAATATTTTACAATATGGCGCAGCTTAATGTTTAATATATACTTACTGATCAAATTGTTTTTTTTATCTAATTCACTAATAATTTCAGATCCGTACGAAAGAAGAGAGTATACGGGGGAACATGAGACAGTATGGAACCGAATCTAGGTACTTAGATGTGGTTGTTAGTGATTTCTCACTACACAATTGGAGATCGGACTTAAAATTCGACGCTATTATTACTGACCGTAAGTGCCTATTTGGTTTAAAGCCCATCTTGTCGTAATCAATTGCGTGAGATATTTATTTTTATTTTTAAAAGCTGCCACAATTTGTCACGTTTTCTTCCTTCACTACTATGTATTATATTAATGCATCTATTGTTTGGGCAAGTCGGTGATTGGCATAGTCACTGCTCAGGAAAACGCACCTTGCAAAGTTGGAACTCATTTTATTTCACTTTAGAAACCTGGGTACGTTATGTAACTTACATAATTGTTATGATTAAATATCTCTTTACCAATCACGGGACAACAATTCCGGTCATTTGGAAGGCGTACGAGGGGCAGAGGGCCTTTAGACAACTTGAATCTTGACCCAAACCGGCGACTATCTTTGTATGCACTATGGAAATGCACCCAAGGACAGTCCCTGATTAGTGTAGGACTATTGCGGATAATGAAAACAAGGGATAAGGCTATGGGTGTGGGTTGCTATGGGCTGGTGTGATGGGAACTATGGAAGGACTATGGCACCTGCCAAACTAATGTAATGTATACATGTAAAAATGGCAGGCGGAGACTCGCCAACTCACTGACCGGGCTATTATTAAGATTGTTCTAATTTCCAGCACCCTACGGCGTTAGAGAACCGACTGAGAAGATAGGAATAGAGAGAGATAACTACAAGTTATCTGAGGAGCATATGGTGAACCATGTGCCTTCCAAAGTGGAGTACGGGCTGGGCCACATCTACAGTGACCTCCTCAACTTTGCCGCTACACATCTTGAGATGGGCCGGCGGCTAGTCTGCTGGTATCCGCTGGTTAGGTAAGTTTTATTAATATGATACTGCAACTTTTAACCCTTATTACAAAAAAAAGATTTAGTAGTAGTGTAGGCTTTTGACTCATGTTTTGTATTTTGAATTTTATTCTTAATCTACCTTGAATTTGAAATACAATAAATGGCATAGTTTAGAAAAACCTTGTTTTTTGGATAAGGCCGATACAGGTTTACATTCGATAGTTATTTCACTGAAAAATATTTTATTTTTATTTAGAAAACAATGTTATCATTTGTTCATTTTTAATCTAATATAAGTAAGTATACTTAATTTTTTATTTTTTTACGCGGTTTCAGCCGCTGCTCGGCTCCATTTGATCGTAGCATGATGTGTTATAGCCTATAGCACTCAGGAACAGTGTAGCTATCTATCAGTGAAAGATTTTGGCAATCCGACCAGTGGTTCCAAAGACATACTAACTTACAAATTTTACCTCTTTATAATATTAGTATAGAAAATGTACTATATATTATTTGACGTAAGAAAATATGACGTCACAACGTGTTGTTTCATGCAAAATTCATATGAATTTAACGATTTTTAACTTTTCAATCGTGGTAATTCTTCACATAATAGAAGAATTATAGGTGTGCGTGTGTGTTTTGTTATTGTGACATATACTAAATATCGAGAGCTGGAATGGATGGAAATGGGCTGATGATGTCGGTGATGATGGTGCTGATGATACAAAATTAATTGAAAACTGACTTTCTGCCAGCGGCTTTCCTGTTGCTCAGCTCGTTCTGTTTCTAGCGTGATGTTATACAGTTTATAATCTTCCTCAATAAATAGACATTCGAACAAAAACAAAAAAAAACTATTCGAACAAATACTTCCTGAGATTAGCGCTTTCAAACAAACAATATATTTAAATTTAAATATCAGAATCACGATCAAAAACGAGTAAACAATCTGTTATGCTTGGGCCACACTAACGGGAAATGCCATTATTTATCGTAGTAATGAAAGTTAATTGTAGGTGTAATTTGATCACTAAGCAAATGACTTAAGGTTAATTTTTCATTGTATTGTATCACCAATTATCGCGATAATTATTGGCATTTCCCGTAAGTGTGGCCCAAGCATAACAGTCATTGACCTTTTATTCATATACCTTTATACCTTATACAGTAAAAAAACTTTATTTTTAACGAGGTACTGCTTTTCTGCTTTCTTTTGTATTGCTTATTCTTTGGCCCTTTAAGCAAACCGTAATTCTTTAAAATCTAAGGTCCAAAGACGTATTTTTATTGTTTTCTATAGCAATAGTTAACTAAAACAGTCAAAGTCAAATGATTTATTTCAAATTTCAACTTTTGAACGTAAAACTAAATGATAGTAAGTTCAACTTTGAGTCACAGCAAGTCTGTCGGTTTGTCGTCTAAAAAAACTTAGCTGTCAATTATCTAAATTTATTAATGACATTACATCGTCATAATCTAATACATTTGTACGTAGTAGTTAATTGTGAACTTGTGGAGGAGCGGGATGTCCTAACACAAGCATATTTATTGCTTAAAAGGGCATTCCATGTTGTAATGTACCTACCTATGTTTTTTTATTTTAAGCTAGATACCTACTAAATAAACATTATTATTATTAAACATTTGTTAGCGTTTCTACTACTGCTTACTAATTTGAAATCTTGTAAGGCCACTTTTTTTTTGTCTGATGCGGGTAGAGGTATCTACTTTATACGGCCATTCGCTTTGTGGAGGATATCCCACCCACACGTACGAATAAGTTCGCCTCCAGTTTTATTATTAGAACTGCTAAGGAGTGGAGTCCATGTTTTCCCCGAAAGGCCCGTATTTTCCTTATGAGTAGGCGTGCTCCATTGTAGGTCGCATCATTTCTTTTTTACTTATGTTATAAGTCAGCAAACGATCAGACGGATTACCTGATAGTAAGCAATCAAGCAGCGCCGCCCATTGACACCCGCAACAACAGAGGAGTTGGTGCCAACGGGTGGGTTGCCAACCTTTTAGCGGTAGGGGATTTGGAGATTTAGGGATTGGGGGAGGGGAAGGATTGGGCCTCCGGTAACCTCACTCACACGGCGAAACAAAACGCTTGAGTTGTTTCACGCGGGTTTTCTGGGAGGTCGTGGTATCGCTCCGGTCGAGCCGACCCATTCGTGCCGAAGCATGGCTCTCCCACACTTATTGTATACTATTGCTTACCACCAGACGTGATAGCGGCCATATGCCTGGCCTACCACAGTACTAGCCTACTACAGATCTAAATAAAAAAACTGATTATGTACATGTTATAACTTCTTTGTGTTATTTTTATAGTCTGAAGGTATTTATCAACTGTCCCGTAAGGCATAAATAAATGCTGTTGAATAATGTCGCCAAGTTATGTCCCGGATTAGATAGTTTTCTAGCTCAAAATAAATTCTTATTAATTTCATTGTATGTACTTTTCAAAACGTACAATTGGTTATTAAAATATAATCGTTCTTGAAGAATGCAATTGACTGATGTTGTTGTTTGTTGTAAATTTTTCAGAAGTATGCTATTGAATTGACGTAATATCATTATGATGCGATGATATGTTGACATCTCATGGTCTCCATAGGAAATGTAGGATAAAAGTATACTTTTAATATCGGTATTAACTTTGACCTATTGGCATTATACCGTATTAATAAATGCAATTAATACGTAGGTAATATTGACGTTGTTGTCTTGATAGCCGAGCACATCAGCCAATCTCCCTTGAGTAAGAGTGGTGATTAATGCTCACACCTTCTCCATGTTAGAAGAGGCTTTTATTCTACTCGAGTTTTATAGCCTGATGATGACAATACCTGATGATAAATTCTAATGCATTTTGAGGAAAGCTTCGGTACGGCCATATTAACTGAACGTGCAAAATGCAAAACTTCAGTCTCGGTTGAAAATATGTGATTCAAAAGTTCTCGCTTCATAAACATGTGATTCAAAAGATCTCGCTTCATAAACATGAATACATACGAAAACATAAGTGGATATATGCATACATTGGAATAAAAGCTAGTAAAAACTGCCTTATCTTTGATGTCATCGTTAACGACCGATATAAGAACTAGGTTTATATAATATTGTTAAGATTACCCACCACTATTATTGAAAATACGTTACCTTATGCGGGTAGGTAATTAAAAACTGTAATATACAATAGATATTGTGGAATGTTCCATTGCTGTTGAATTCAAAACGATACGAGGGTGATTTAAAAATTTCGCAATCACATTTTTCCATTCCACCCACGAAATGATGAATTTTGATTGAAATGTGTCGAAATACTTGCATAGTTTCCCAAAGTTCTGATATTTATACATATGTGTATATCTTTTCGAGTAACAAATGAAAATAGACTGTTGAATGAAACAGCATGAGCATATACAAAACATTATTATATAATTTATTTGTGGTGGCTCCTAGTTTAGTTAAGTCAAGGTTAAAAACTGCTTTGCATATTTTTTTGAGTTGGATCTGTGTGCTGTAAGCCTAGAGGGAGTTTCAGACTTAGAGCTACATTTCGGTACTGTACGGTGGGCTCGACCGGAGTGATACCACGGCCTAACAAATAACCGGCGTGAAACAACCACAGCATTGTGTTTTGTTGTGTGAGTGAGGTTACCGGAAGTCCTATCCCTCCCCTCCCCTCATCCCGTCCCATTCCTTAAATGTCTGAAACCCTTATCTCGAAAAGGCCGGCAACGCATTTGTAACTGCTTAGATGTTGCGGGTGTCAATCATGGGCGATCTACTTATCTCATAAAAAATCTAATCAAAAGAAAACTGTATAAAACTTTTGTCTGTACCAACTGTACTCGTATACCTAATATTTTTCATATAAATATGATAAAGCTGGAAAGTTTGTTTGAACGCTCTTATCTCCAGAACTACTGGTTGGAATGAAATAATTATTTTTGTGTTTGTTAGTACATTTATCGAGGAAGACTTGAGGCTATAAAATACCACGCTACGATTTGTAGGAGACGAGCAGCGAGTGAAACCGCGCGACAGAAACTAGATTTTCATAAAACTAAATACAGAATGACAAAGAAATAATTCGAAAACAAACAAATTGGTTTGTATTTATGTTACGTCAATCTCAGGTAACCCTCTATATTTGTTTTTATAGCCTCACTATTGTCTCAATCTAATTAATACGCTTTGTCATTTACTTGACTATTTTAAGTTTAAATATGAGGGTAACCTAAATGATATTCTGAAATAAAAAACTATTTAGCTGTTTTCGTTGTATCGTTTTGTAATTTTTAGGGATTTTATACTTAGGGCTAATATTTGTTCTACAGAAAATATATCCTGTTTCTTATTCTTATAAATAAAAAGAAATAGTAAGGAGTTTCTGTTAGATAGAATCTACCTACATCTGAAAACTAATAAAATTTCCTTTGTTCGGAAATATTTTTATAACGAAAATTTCTTTTACCGTGGACCTATTTTGATTGGACTAGCATAAAATATCGTCATGCTTTACCTACCCTTTAAGGGTTGGCAGAGATGCCTATGTATGTCGGTAACACGATTCATCATTCCCATGCTTCGGCACGAATAAGTGTGGGAGAGCCATGCTTCGGCACGAATGGGTCAGCTCGACCGGAGTGATACCACGGTCTCACAGAAGACCGGCGTGAAACAACCACAGCGTTGTTTTTCGCCGTGTGAGTGGGTTGCCGGAGGCCCAATCCTTCCCCGCCCCCAATCCCTTCTCAATCCCTAATTCCTAAAAGGTCGGCAACGCACTCGTAAATCCTCCGTTGCGGGTGTCAATGGGCGGCGCTGATTCGTCTGCTCGTTTGCCGACCAATTACATAAAAAAAAAATCGTTCACTAAGTTGCGATGGGTTGGGTGGTATGGCAGCATGAGGCTGTTAGTGTCCCTAATTCGGGCGATCGAGAGTGCTGATGAGTCACAAAAGCACAAGTACCTAGATTAAACTAAACGTAAGTGTTGTCCGCTCCGAACCATATTTGAGTTAATGGATACCAAAGGATTTCTGAACCAAAGTGACATGACGGTAGGGTAAATTTAAATCCAAAAATTGTGCAAAGTGCCAATCCATGTTTTGTTTAAATGTGTTTGTAACGAAGCGGAAAGAAAATCTTTCGATATCTATACTAATATTATAAAGAGGTAAAATTTCTAATTTTGTAAGTTTGTATGTAGGGGGTAATCTTTGGAACCGCTGGTCGGATTGCCAAAATTGTTTCACTGATAGGTAGCTACTATGTTCCTGAGTGCTATAGGCTATAAAACATCACGCTAAGATCAAATGGAGCTGAGCAGCGGGTGAAACCGCGCGAGAGTAGCTAGTAGAATATAATGTTTGTTGTCTACTTGAAATCGGCCTATGTAACAGCCTTCTATGATATCTAGCGGGTAGGTTTAGCCTACCCGTAATCAGAGCAGGTTAAAAAAAGATTTGTATAGACTAGTCTTGAAAAGAAGATGACTCTTATTCCATAGATGAATTCCGTAAAACTTTTATTGTATGTCTCATAATTATGTTTACAAGTATATTTTTTTTTATTATATTAATTGTTTGATTAAATCCCTGTTTTACTAATAAAGATTAAAAAAGTGACGTTAGTGTCTATGATTGTTTGTTCGATTACCTATTTGTGATTTAAATATTTGTTTAAGTACCTTATGGGTTTTTTGTCAGGGGAATTCATCAAATGACTTCTCCCGTCCAGGGTAAGGCGAGAGAAAGTGTCAGATTCTTACTGACTAAAACCTCCCTGTTCCTTCTCTTGCTTTAGGCCGAGGCCGCGGTGCCACATTGCGCCTACCCCGCAACCGTGACCGTATGGGTGATCCTGCACTCTACAGTTTTTTTTACTAAATAATCTCTCCAGGGAGGAGTACCAGGAGGCACAGTTACCATCTCATCCCTGCCTGAAGCTGGTGGCCAACTCGGAGCAGGTGCTGTCCAAGTTGGCAGCGAGGAGATTGCTCACCTACGAGAAAGTACTAGATGACGTGCCCAACATGCCGCTAGATCCTAACGCTGGAGTTCATAATTTTAGGTAATGTACCCTCCATATCGTAAAATGAAGTGTAGTTGCTCAGGTATGTAGGTTTTGTCTTATGAAGGTTGAAAGTAATAATAAAAGTAATGTTAATCTACTTTTAAAATTGAGAAGTTATAGGTAATAACAGTATGTCTTTCTCTTCATGTCATCTTGGTTACCGCAGTTTGTTTTTTCTATTTATCTTAATCTAAGTTTCACAAATCCGTTGCAATGTTTTGTGGGGTCAACGAGTTTCTAAACAATACAATTTAGATTATATATTTCTCAGAGTTTTGTAATCCAATTCGGATTTTAACGTAGGTTTAAAGTTAATGTTGCAATTTCGTAGAAGAATATCCACGTGGAGCCAAGTTCTTTTCTTTAATCAAAGTTATGATTGAATGTATATTTTTTTATTTACTCACAGCATAACATAAAACAAAGACCCCATATAAGCGTAAAAGTCATTATTTTTTAAGTTTTATTTACATACCCACTTAGGTACCTACCTACCTTATTATAGAACAAAGACTTGTCTTTTCCGATTTACTCAAAACCGATCGTTAGATCGAATTTCGAGGAATATTTGATTCTATAGTTGGACGAAAAGAAAAAAAATACAATATCTAATTTTTAGGGAAAAATGTAGGGTAGGTAACTGGAATTTCATTTATTTGCAGGGAAAAGTACTTTACTATGGGCGAGACGACGAGGCGAGAGAGGAAAGAGAAAAGGGCGGAAGAGGTCGCAGCTTACCTCGCCAGGAAGATGGAGACCACTAAATATAATGACCTCATGTGAAACATGATACCTTCTTAGTCCCGACCTTTTCCAAGTTTTGGGACCAGTACTGGCTTACGACTAAATATCTTTGGATGATTCTTGATTTTAGAAAAAAAATAATAGTAAAAAGAAAAAAGATTTAGGTACATTGTTGAATGATTTTGGTCGTTGTCTTAACAATCTGTTGAATCATTCAGTATTTTCACGTGAAAGTTACCTGTGACTATGTTAAGTAATGTACAATTTAATTAAGTGTTAATTAAAATACAGATTTTAACTAAAACCAGTTGATTTTATTGTTGATTCCCGAACTTTTGAAGCCGAACCGAATTTATGTTGGAACTTTGAATAGGGTAATAAGTTTTTTCCATATCTTTCTAGGAAGGTAGATTATTTGTAAGTTCGTAAGTACTTAATTAATAAAACACTCCTTTTTTGGGCAATCGTGTAAAAATAGGTAGGTATTATTTTTTTTGTTAAAAATATCGTAAAACTTAACTTTAATGATGCGTGTTAATTCAATTTGTCCGAGTAATTAGTCCTATTTTATTTAATGACGTTTTACTTTTATATGTATCAATGCAAATTCATATTATTATATTCTTATTGTTTTTGACTAAAAGGTTACGTAGATTACGTAGATACCCAGCAGATATTTGCTATTCCTTGATCGGAACCACTGAATTTTTAATTTTAAGTATCATAGTTTTATATTTGAATTGTTGTAATTATAGCATATGATAATATGTGTTTGCCTCAAATACAAAAACAAAGTACACAAGCACATCTTTTTTAAAACTGAAATGATTTTATTTGAAAGGCGAAAATGTATTACTGATTGGCAATTGTAAGTATAAGTCTTGTTTTTAGATATACCCACTTAAGAAATTTTAATCAAAAGTTAACCAGAACATTCTGCAATAATATCAAGAAGGTATAAGAAAAAAGTTAAAAAAAAAACAAAGAATTGTCGGTAACATAATATTTATTTAAATTAAATAATAATTACTTATACCCAACATAGACACAACCAAAAACATTCCATACACCATGCTTTTGATAGTAATAAAACATTTGATTTACTTAGATATACCTATCATCATATTATACACAAAAAATGGTACCTTGTCATCTTTGTGTAATAAAATTAATAAATAATAACGGAAACAAACATTTGTTATCTTTTTTCTTCTCCAAGGTTTTTGGCCTACATATCAGATGAATGCTTAATAAAATTGTCCCTATACAATTTTACTAGCTCTTGCCCGCGACTGCGTTCGCGTGAAATAGTGACTTCCTGCAGATTTTTGGTATAAAAACTATCCTATGTCCTTTTTCGAGTCCAAAATATTTCTGTACCAAATTTCATAGAAATCGGTTCAGTTGTTTAAGAAAAGACACACAGACAGAGTTACTTTCGCATTTATAATATTAGTTTGGATAGTATAGATTTATCTGCCTGAATACTATTGTTACATGGCTGTCACATAATTGAACCAACTTTGTAATGTACCTACAAACTTTTAAACTTACGCGTTTCATGTTTACGACATACTTAATAATAATTACACGGGTATTAACGCGAAAATTAATTATTTAAATACCTTTGAAGGCTTGACGTTTCGCCCTAGTTGCACAGGTCGTGGTCGAAAGCAGACTAAAGAAGCTTTCACGATAGTAAGAAGAGCAAGAAGACTTGCAATGTATTTAAATAATTACTTTTCGCGTTAATACCCCCATAATTATATGTTTTAAACTCTGTAACGTAACTACCTAATAATTTAATTGTGATAACGATTACAAGAAATAACGATGGTATTTTTTTGCTCGTTCTTTTCCTTAGAAGTTTTGTTGAATTTGGAACGAAATAAATAACTTCTCATTAGGTTTGACATTCGTGTCTTATATTGAAATAAATTGTTGGACTGTTTCTTTTTTATGATATAGGTCGGCAAACGAGCAGACGGATTACCTGATGGTAAGCAATCAGCGCCGCCCATGGACGGCCGCAACAACAGAGGAGTTACGAGTGCGTTGCTGACCTATTTGAACGTTTCAGGAGGTGCAAGCTGAAGGATCACTTGATGGTAAATATAGCACTGCTAATAAACAACAAAGTAATAAAGAGTTACAATTGCTTTGAGGACAAAACCGTTAACTATTATTAACATTGTCTAAAATATTAGTATAATTTATACTAGGTATACAATATACAATGTTAATTCATTAATAGCATTCAATCCGAAAGTTCATACATATACCATTCTACAAAAGAGTCTATCGTTTGTTCAGTCCAAGAGGAACCTAAAAACAGAAAAAGGATGCCAACAAGTGACGTCAGTGACGTTAATATGAACGTGTCTGAGTGAGACAACAATAGTTCTTTACGATATCACTTTTCTTGAAACATTATTTACAGGCAGTAAATAATATTTTACAAATAACCAGTGCAATATTTATAGTAATTATGTATATAAAATAATAAACAAACGTTGACTATAGACAATTACTCTAGTGACAATACAATCACATCTTTTTCTATAATATTATTATACAAATTACCTATAGGAGTGGTGGGCAAACCTTTTTAATGAGTGGGCAAATTTAAAAAGGGTTTTAAGTGGGCTAAAATAATGTTTTCATCATCGAAAATAATCTCGAATTAAAAATATAATAAATATATTATATTAAGTTAAGTTATTAAGTTATTATATATTAAGTATATAATAAAATATATATTAGCTAGTCGGGTGACCTAAACTCGGTCACCAATTTTTTATTGAGTACAACGACGAACGAGTGTTAACTAGGCAAATTAGTCAGCCTTTTACCTGATGGTAGTGATCTGCGCCGCATATGGACACCAGAAGCATCACAGGCGCGTTGCCGGTCTTTTAAGAAGAAGAATGTTTGTTTCTTGAAGTTTTCAAGGTCGTGTTGTTATATTTGAAAGTTAAGCTACCAGACGAAAAAAAAAACATGTATAGGTATAGTCTCTTTTAGTAGCTACACAGATATCTTATTGGTATTGAGTGCGAATTTCAAATCAAAAACTATGTGCCATAGTTTCCCCACTATTGTCCAATTAGAATTTCATTATACCCTTTCGAATAAAATTGTATTGGGAATAATATTGATCCTTTTTCTAGTCTATTTTCTGCAACTTCTGTCTGATTGCCCATCACTGGAATTATTATATATTAATCCTTTTTCTTTATAATAGGTATAGAATGTGGTTATTCAGTGATGGCGAGTGCAAGCATCATTTGTGAGAGGTCAGGAGTAGGTGGGAGGGCCCGGGCGGCTCGTTGGCGGCGCGCAGCTGAAGACTGCGCCCATTGACACAGCTTCCAAACCTCCTTGCGTTTAGAACTGTTGCCGGCTGACTTGTAATGGTTCAGTAGGTTGTTTGTTACCTGTAAAAACATTAATTTATTTATATAAAAAATCTTTCGTCGTTGCTAAGTCCTAGCTCTGGCTGTTAGACTCAAGGGTTCTGGAAGTATAATATACTCAAGACTGAGAAGGAATAGTGTTCCAAATCTTATAATGCAATTCCCCAAAGAATTGTGAGAGTAGTCCATGGATGGATGGAAAAAATACTTCTTGAAGACTACTTTATTTCTTTCTTGATAAATCTTTCTTGTCTGTTAGTATTAGTACAGTACACACAGCGACTGGCAAAATTACGGAGGTACCAACAAAAAGTGCCGAACGAATTTTTTTAAATGATAGGTCGGCAGTCTGATCTGCTAATACCCGATGGTAAGCAATCTTTGGAGTTACGAGTGCATTGCGGGATCTTTGAGGGTTAGGGATTATATTAGGAGGGGGATTGGAATTGTTGTACAAAGATAATATAAAAAAATAATTAGTTCAGATTTAAACTTACCAAGAACAGTCCAAGCAAAGCCCTCATGTTCTCTGGGTTGAGCTTCAAAGCTTGGCAATAATATGTCTTAGCTAATTCCATGTTTTCCACACCACCCTGCAAATAACACGAAACTAAAGTATTAAAAAAATACTTCAATAAAAAGTAATTAGGTAGCTAGACATACAAAAAACTTAAAGTTTATGTGGTAAAACTTTGTGTGGTACAAGAAATAAATAGAAAATCAATAATTGAGACCACTTTTAAATCCATAGTATTTCAAATTTATGTAGGAAAAAAGCCTGCAAGCCGCTGGACTAACTTCAGTCTATGGATGCTTCCAATATTAGAGGTAACATCGTCATTAATGCGAAGTTAACAGTAACTAATCTTTAGATTTCTCCATAATAACATTTAGGATGTAAAATAAAATAATATTGGCCTCATAAGATTTAAAAATCTTGATATACTTGTGGAAATAATTTATAAGCGTGTTTACAACATGACAAAATAACTAAAAATAATGATACTCTCATTATTCGATTTTTTTTCCTTATTGAAAAGAAATAAACGCAGCGTCAATTATATTTGACGCAAAAAGTGATATCAGTACAAATAAGCCATCTCATTCAAAACTAAAAGTGATGTAGGCTTAGTTTTAAACATTTCAAACAAAGTATTCATTTGACTAGTTGTAATCATGTCTATCATCAATATCTACACTTACCATAGTGTACCTGATGTCAGCTAGTCGCTGGTGCATCAGATGGTTGTGGGGCTGGTGCAGGATGAGCTCCTCGGCGCAGAAGGCGGCGCGCGAGTACTCTTGCACCTGGAGGTACAGCGAACACAACTCCTGCCACGCCTCCACGTCAGACATGAATCTGAAGACATAAAGATTTTTTTTATGACAAAGAAACATACAAATATGTACTGATGGTAAACAGAATACGTGTCGTCTATGAACACTCACAAGATTAGTAAGTATATAATTTATTTTCATAAAACACGGGACAAAAGTGTGTGTGTGTGTTATACATAATAATGACAAAGTAATACAATCGTGTTTCGCTTACACACCACCTGAGGTATTATGAATACATTGCCAGCCTTTTAGGGATTAGGAACTGGCAGTATCACACGATGAAACACAGTGCTAATATATTATGTATAGAATGTCTCGTTTATCCCAGATATGGATAAAGTTAGGTCCCTTTTCAAGTCTATGTGCGAACAAAGATTAAGACATCATGCCTTATTGGCCGTACCAGAGTCACGTACGGTGGCCCATTCAAATTCTCCGCTGGTCCAAGTTCTCACCATGCTCAATTCTCTCCTGATGTTAGCGCCAGATTGTGATTTGTTTGCAATGAGATGGATAGATCTGTGTCGTGAATGTCTTAGATATTGTGAGAGGATGGATGATAGGTAGTTAACACATCCAGTGCCCCCGACGCGTATGTGCGTTTCCTTACGCTACTTTGTGTGCCCTCGACGCACCTGTGCGTTCTATACATTAATGTATTGAACGCACAGGTGCGTCGAAGGCGTAAGTAAAGTAGCGTAAGGAAACGCACATACGCGTCGGGGGCACTGGATGTGTTAAACTATAATGTTTTTTTTTAGTTTAAGTCCAATCACCAATCTTGTTATTCAGTTGTATTAAGTAGTTTTATTTTGTTTTTTAAATTTATATTGTTTTTCTTGTATTTAATCCTAATTAGTTTTTTTTTAAGTACCTATATAATAATATTTATATAAAATTAACAATACAACTTAATGGCGTAAGCTGTAATGTTATATATGTAAATATTCTTAATAAATAAATAAATCATTAAAATTATTGAGAAGTTAGAATAACAACACACAAGACCAGTCAAGTTGACAGTAGGCTCAGCATCATGTTCAAATAGTGCAGGAGTAGCTATTCTAATTATAATATGTAGTCTTACTTCTTGAGGTAGTCAACAAGTTCCTTGATAGCTTCAGTGATGAGGCCCTGTGCCTTTAGAATGGCGACACGCCGCTTCCTGGCCGCCGAGTTGGTCTCATCGGCCTTTATAATACCGTCCAACACTTCTAGAGCTTCATCATACCTGGAAACATTATTTTTTTTAAACATTATAACTGTAGATTGTTTTTCAAGTGCCCTCAAATAGTTAAGTACTAGGTAATGTTCTAATTATAAGTTTGCCAATATCAATTATGCTGACTCAGCCATTGCTCAGCAGTGGACAGTTACATAGGCTGATGATGAATGAAAGAAATGGTGAATGATTGATTCCATTTTGTCTATGAAACATGACTGTATTCAACATAATGATATGCAGGAAGTATCACAAGCTAAAACACATTTTCTTGGCCTTTAAACCTCTCGTCCGCTAGTGAGACACAATAGAAAATATGTTGTGTCTCGCTTACAATTCTACATTCTGGCAAACCATGTGTTAAAACTTATTTAAGATTAGAACTGGCATTGTAGCACTGGTAATAAGTAAACTGGGCAATTTTTGCCATGTTGTGTATCTTGAAACAAGTTGAGTTATCTAGTCAGAACACTCTTGAATAAGCTGTTTAACACAAAAAGTACTAACTGTTCCTTAGCTTCTAGGAGAGCTGCCTTGTGCCTCATGACGCGCATGCTTCCTGGGAATTCATTAGACAGTATGTAGATACACATGGTAGCCACTCCATATGCATGGCAGTCCAGGGCAGCATAAATGACTTGTTCCAATACCAGATGCTCTGAAAATTAGAGATAGTATTACAAAATTAATAATTTGTACCTTTGTAATTTTTCTTCGTAAAGTAGAAGACTGGCAAAACCTGGTTTCTCCCTGGCAAGCACTAATGTGACATGACATTTGTGATTTATTTCTTGTTTCTAAAATTATTTAGAGACCACAGTTATAATATATAGGAAAATTGTAACGAAATCAAACATTAAAATCGCCAATCTGCCTTGATCAAGCATAGTGGCACATTCATTCTCCATGCAAGACTCAGCATGCAGCTTTTGAATAGCAGAATTCACTTATAGGCTGATGAAAATGATGAAGATTAGGTAATATTTTTGTTAAGCATTTTGTTCATAAAGTTCATAATTGAAATTGTGTGTTTACACAATTTCAATTCAATTCAATTGTTGGTGAACCTATTATAATAAAATAAAATAAAAATAAAGATTTCTCCCATTTTACTTGTAAACCATGTTCTTAGCACATACATTTAGCTTTTCTTTATCATAGGTGCATGAAATATGATCCAAAATGATTCCACTAAATCAAATGTAATACAAAATACTGATACACATAATAATGTATTGTCAATGTTTTGATGGATTTTTAAAACTTGGCATTCAAACACTTTGTTTAATATAGCTTGTCTAATATTATAAAGAGGTAAAATTTGTAAGTTTGTATGTAGGGGTTAATCTTTAGAACCACTGGTTGGATTGCCAAATTCTTTCACTGACAGATAGCTACAATGTTCCTGAGTGCTATAGGCTATAAAACATCATATCACGATCAAATAGAGCTGAGCAGCGGGTAAATCCGGCGCGAGAGTAGATAATTTTTTCTGCATAGTTGTTTTTTAAACATGACAAGTAACAGACTACTCACTCTCATTGCCAAGTTTGCTCAAGTCATCACTGAATACTGTAGTCCATAGCTCTATTACATCTTCACTCCTACGTTCATTGTTCTCTCTCCATTGACGAAACAAGTCTTTAGCTTCTGGAAAAGAAAATTTCTGTTTGTGATAGGTTGCATTAAGATATTGAATAAATACAATATACATTATGTCTGCTCACTATTTCAATTTGAAACACAATACTTTATAATACGTAGTCATTATTTATATTATTCATTACAAAATACAAAACCACAGTTATGTTTTCATACTAAAAGTTGCTTAAGGGAACAAATTCGCCTTAATTATATTAGTTTAAATAAATTAGGTAACGTTATGAAATAAATGTTTCTTTAAAATTAAATACCGTGGCCAAGTAGCAGACAAAATTAGAATTAATTGAATACACACCGCTGTAAGTTAATTCTTCGAAGTTGTAAGACATTTTACTACCGACTACTAGACTTATTTTATAGTTGTATTTTATTATTTTTATCTTGACCACGTTCACGTTGAAACTAAAAATAATGGTTTGATATGTGAACTTGATTCCCAAGTCATCAAAGATCCAAAATAATTTACATTCGATGACTATTATAGTAATTAGCAGCAGTTATAAAAAGTAGTGATAGTGATTAATATTGAAGAGGACGCAAGGAAGGAAATGTCACATAAATGTTATGTCAATGTCATTTTTTCAGCTGTGTCAATGAAAATTATGGCCACACAGGTCATTGTGATGGGTCTTACAGGTCTTTAGCTTGTCTTTAGATGGGGTGAATTTGACGATAAATAATTTTGGATTTGGATCTCTTATCTTTTCTGTTCAGGGTTGCATCGTTCGTTTGTGACCTCGACGAATCACCTTCATAGTTCTTATTAATTACTATTGATTATTTTTTATTTAAGCCTTGCCTTGACCGTATTGATAGCTCCCTCATTAGTAAACCAATAGTAAAATTAGGTTTTACGGGTTTAAAGCATTATTACATCTTGATATAGAAATATTTATGAAACAGAGTTAAACTACTGATATGCAGTTTCTCATATTCATAATAAATCATTTTAAATAGAAAGGCATTGAATTCAGTTAGAATTAAAGATCAAAATCGATTTTTGGATATTGATTTCTGGATGTCACTCTAGAGGGCATGGACCTTCTCCAGAAAGGACATGTAACTACCCTAAAGTCATTGACCTATTTAGCGCGTTCCAGTTCAATGTCTCATCAAAAACGATAAAATAAGTAAAGTAATTGAGTATTTTTTTTTATTTTTGGGTGTAATTTTTCTACACCAAAAAATTATTAACAAGTACTAATAATAGATTTTTTGGAAAAAATATAGTTAAATCCAGTCTAATAATTTAATAACATAATATTAGAAATGAGTACAAGAAACAAAAACCATTCCAGTTTTAATTCTCTATGGTTAATATCATGAACAAATTCCGTTCAACGCATACAACGTTAGCAGTATTTCGTCTAAAAGAGAAAAATGTATAGAAATTCGATTATAGCACATCGCCACGAGCGCATATTGATGTTCGGGTTCGTGTATCGGAATATAAAAGTTTGTGTGTGAACGTGAACAAGACGTCTGCAATATGTCTGACTATTTGGAAATATTTTTAGATTTAGCTTAGTCGTAAATAATTAACGGATCTATTTAGAGTAATCGATGTCATGGACTATACATGACAAAAAATATATTAGGTGAGTACCTTTCGTGTGTTTCGGACAGAAAATCGTTATCCAGTTCATTCTTCATTGTACATAATGCTCGACTTTTTTATGTCTCAATGGCCTTTATCTCGGGGTTTTGTTTTCTTTTGTCCTCTGTTTGCACGTTGAACAAGTTTGTAAATGTGATGTTGTGGACTTAATGTCGTATATTTATACAGAGTATTTTGTCTGACAGATCGATAAGGAGACGACGTGCAACGAAGATATGTATTGTTGTGGGTCGAGCGAGAGCCTTATGTGTGAATAGTAGATATGCGCGTCACGGACATTGTGCGGCCTGCCTCTGCGGACTAAGTGCGCGTGCTGTGACGACATTGTATTGATACGAACGCAACGTTGCGCTGCGGGGCCGTGTCGCCATTGCTTTTGTCACCGTGTGAACAGCCCCCGACGGCAACATGGATCAGCTCGCGGTGCAGTGTCCCGTATGCACGCTGTTCCTTCATAATGGGATCACCCTGGAGTCCCATTTGGATACACATCCCAAAGACCAAGTTATAAAAGCTTTGTGTAGTATAGCATCAAACTCTAAAAGCTCCAACTATGGTAGTAGAACTTCTACACCTGCACATTCTGAACGATCTTTCAGAAGCAGGTCACGGACTCCTGCTACAGATGACAGTGCCAAGTGGACTGCATCACGGAGCACTGAGCATGATCGTTATTGGCGTAGAACACCAAGCAGAACTTCTAAATCAACACCACTATCAAGTACATCTAGGAATGGTACACCTGATATAAGGATGCTGGATATGGGCTTTGAGAACCATGGTATGGCTGGCAGTAGTGTAGGACAACATGGGAACAATCCGTTTCTTTTAAAAGCAGACAAACTCCAGCAGCCTTTTCAATCTCCACCAGTTTCAGACTTTGACCAGCAGTTTGTTTACTATCCAGATCAACAAGAAGACAGAGAGATCAAGTTTTCTCGAAGTGCTGAATATAGTGCAATGGACAATAGCAACAATATATTTCCTTACAATGTGCCAACTATGGCTGCTCCCAATATGAAACTTTTACCAACAGCGAGTAGAAAAACAGGTGACCTTGTCAAAATTCTACCAAAACCTAATAACATTCTACTTAAGACCAACATGGGTGGTGTGCAATATATAGGCCCAGGAGTCAAACCTATGGTAATGGTGCCATCACCACCTACATTTGTGCAGAAGAATGTGCAAAACAATATGATCATGACAGGAGGTGTACCAAACCCACAGTTGCAGATTGATACCAAAACAGTTCCACCTCCCCTAGGTAGTAATCCACTCAACCAAATGTCTTGTACTGGTGCATTCACTCCAGGGACTACTGTTGTTACCCAAAACTCACAAATTATCTATAGAGAAATGGTGCACAATATAGATGGTAAGCCTTTCATAACTACAATGCCTACTTTACTTGGAAATGAGAATGTGACTAATTTGTCTCAGGCTACCTCTATGTACCAGAATGTGATGGTTGTAGATCAGTTTGGAAACACTTCATGTATGTACACAACACCTCAACAAATGATGAACAAGGCATGCCCCACTTCCATGTATAATGAGACTGGGGCTATGATGCCAAGCATATCAATGGACAAGTCTGTTCAGAATATGAATGATCCTAAAACACTTATTATTGAGGTAGGCCCACTGGTGGCCCCTGCTTCTGACAATATTTGTGAGGATCCTAGTTCTACCATGTCTCAGCCAGTTGCAAAAAGTCCTGCTGAGAGCACTGACAGGTCATCAGACAATCTTGATCCCAAGTCCGAAATGTCAGGCAGTACTAAAGGCTTAAAGATTTTGAGTAACATCAAAGTTGAAGTTCCTGTACAACATCACAAGAATATGGTAAACACTGTCATGGATCTAACTGGTCCTAATGAGTCTGACTATCCTGTGGAACGAGTAGATAGTCCTGAAAAGATTCTCCCAGATTTGGAAGATAACAACCAAATGTCTTCTGATGACACCCAGCCTTCAATGTCTAGTGGAGACAGTATGGCATCTCATACATTTTCTGTGATAAAAAATGTTGGTAACCCAAGTAAAAGTTCTGTAGATAACAAGTTGGACACAGACTTTTCAGATAGCTGTCCTGTGCCAGATTTAATATGCAATGAAAAACCTTCAATATCGCCATGTAGTGAGTTGTCAGAAAATGGTGAAAATTCTACAGACAGAACCTCAATATCTCCCAAGCCAGGGACTAATCAAGTTAGCCATAGTAATCTAGCTCTTCCAGAAAAGAAGATTCAACTTCCCCAGAAGCCATACAGGCACAACACACTAAGACTGAACAATATTTTTGTTAAGAAGCACAAGAAAGTTTTGCAAATTAAGAATGCCAAGAACTTTCCTGTGAGTCTTTCGAAGAAAACTGAGCATAGAGACACAGTTGCTTCGTCATCATCTGACAGAACCCCTGAAAAATTTACTATGAATAAAATGCACCAAACTGAAAAGACAGAATACAAAGAAAAGAGTCACCTGTTGCAAACAATATCTGTTGAAGAAATTAAGGAGGGTGATGAAAACAATGACTTTGATGCTGATACAGAGGAACAATCTATGGATATTGAACAAGTGGAAGCTGGTAGTCTAAATCAGTCTGAGTTTGGTGGCAACATGGACCTCATACAGGTGAAAGAGGAAATAAACTCGAGTAATGAAGGAGGGTTTAGTAACGAGACGTTGACTCCCTCCGACCGTATGCTAAATTCAATAGACTCATTGCGACCGATTAATGTTATTAACTACGGCAATATGTCCAATGAGGATTTTAACGAGGAAGCTAATGATCGAGAGTTACTAAATCTTGAAGGAACATCAAAGAACAAACAATTTGTCAATATGATGAACGAAAATTATTTTGGGGACAATATTTATGCGGATTACTTTACTCCAGATCGCGTCGAAGCGTTTGATGCCGAGCGCGAGGCGGCGTCGTTTAAGGACGGCGGTAAAGATGGTATGTACCTGTGGGGCGAGCCGTCGCAGAAAGACGACGAGTTTGTGCTGCCCAACTTTATACACGAGAGTTACAAGATAGCAGAGAGTAACGGGATAGATTATTCCGAGCTAGGTGCTAGAGACGTGCAGGCCGACGTCGAGGTGGACGGCTGCGAGCCGGACAGCAAGGCCGACGTGCTCAGCGAGGGCCGCAGCGACAGCGACGCGCCGCTCAACATCTGCGCCGACGAGCGCATGCCGCCGCGCGGCGAGCTCAGCGGACAGGAGAGCAATGGGGACATGGAGTCGCCCTGGAGCGGGGTAAGTCGCCCACTACTTATGTAAACATTCAGTACAACTAGCCATCAACTTAATTTATGCCAAGTTTTATTTAGTGATTTGTCTAAATATTTGACATTTTTATATTAGTAGAGAGTTACATAAATCATTTTTTATCATACATATTACTATAAATATGCCTGATCAAAAAAAATGTGTGGTTATGAACTATTAACTATGTCATATAATAACCTAAGTTCGTGAGAGAATTTGAAAAGGGAAAAAAGGAAGAAGTACCTACTCTATTTTTGGTTAAAGGTTATTGAAGGTAGAATTACGTTTTTTTAGTTGTGGCTTGGTATTCCCAGATGTATTCCGAGGTGACGCCCTCGGAGCCGTATGACCTGATCGCCAGAGAGAGCTGGGCCTCGGCATCCGACGGCTCGGACGTGGACGCTAATGACAAGGAGCCCATGTTAGTAATGTAAGTTACACACATCTCTTAAAATTTTGTAGTTCTATTAAAGTAAATTAGAATAATGTTTCAATCTTGTAGAACTCGTTTAGACATATTTTATATGATTACTAGCTAATTTCACCCGCTGCTCGGCTCAATTTAATCATAGCGTTATGTTTTATAGCCTATAGCACTCAGGAACATTGTAGCTATCCATCAGTGAAAGAATTTTGGCAATCCGACCAGCGGTTTCAAGGATTACCCCCTACATACAAACATAAAATTTTTACCTCTTTATAATATTAGTATAGATTTACAAAGTTGAATTTTATACTTAAACTAGCTACTGTCCCGAGGTTTCACCCGCAGCTCAGCTCCATATATATATCGTAGACTGATATTTATAGCCTGTAGTCTTCCTCGATAAATGGACTAACAAACACGAAATAATTGTTCAAATCGACCCAGTAGTTTCGGAGCTTAGCGCGTTCAAGTAAACAAACTCTACAGCTTTATAAAATTAGTATAGATGAAATCCTTCGTTTCGGTGGGTTACTTATTTATTTTTATTGTTGTCTAATACGAAGGGACAATGTTTGCAGTGACGAGGACGTACCGGCGGCGACGACGTCACCGGCGGCGGTGGGTGCGAGTAGGGCGGCGGGTGAGGGGGCGACGCGCGGAGCGCGAGGCGGGCGCGGGGCGCGGGCTGCGCGGCCCGGTGGCAGCGGGGCGCGGCCGCGGCGCCACCGCTGCGCGACCTGCGGCGTCGGCGCCGCCACGCTCAAGGAGCTGCGCGCCCATAAGGCGCTGATGCACGCCGCGCCCCATGCCGCGCCCGCCTCCTACAGCCGCCTTGTCACTGCCAGGACCATCATGAAGGAGGAGAAGCCTGATGACACTAGTAAGTCTATCTTCTCCGACTAAGTAGAGCTAGCTCTAATCGAGCGCTGTGAAGGTCTACCCTCTGTTTGTAGTTTCTTTCTGCATTAATTTTTATAGTTCGACCAGATTTTTTGAAGTTAAATTATTATTTTTCACATTCCAGATAACCCCCTAACGCCGATCGACTCTAAAGAATCAATATCGACCTCAATTCTGCAAGTGTACGAGAATATTCAAGTGGAAGAAGCCAAGCCTAAGATAGAAGTGGACCGTCTCATCAAACAAGAAGTAAAAAGAAAACGGAAAGACTACGTCTGTCCCACTTGTAAAGTGGACCAAGTTACGGAGACAGCATTCCACGAACATCTCAAAATACATCCGCTCGAGTGCCTCACGTGTGGGAAATGTTTCTTCAGGCGAGCGAACCTCGCACTGCATATAAAGACACATTTAGGAATTAAGAATTATAAGTAAGTGTGGTTGGTGCCCTTTTTGTATTTTTATCATGACTCAAGTGCCTATGGTTGGTTCGAGTAATGCGAATGTTGCGGCCCGCTCCCCCAGATGCGAGGTGTGCGAGAAGCGGTTCCTGACGCGGCAGAAGTTGATGGAGCACCACAACGTGCACACGGGCCGCGCGCCCATCAAGTGCACGCTCTGCGACGACACCTTCCGTCGGTACTCCAACATGGTGCAACACAGGTACTGCCCGCCCCTTCTCTGCTACGCAATAACAATAGCCTTCGGAGCTATGCTTAAATACACGCTAAAACAAAAACTGTTTAAAAAAATCGTAGCTTAGAAGTTCATCAAGTCGTATTGTTGCTATGGGCATCTCGACAAGTCGATGGTTATACAAAATATACGTAAAATGGCAACTGAACGTTTCTAGAGGCCAACCGCAATAAAGTTCTGGGGGTTTTTAGTCAGTAAGTCTGAGACTCGTAATACCTCAGGCGAGAGAAGCTAATTGATGATTTTCATTTCTCAAGAATAATTTTTGTCAAGAGTATATTATTTAGAGATTATTTTCCAATAAGGTCGATTTCAATATTAAATTGAAGTGAATGCATATAGGTATATAGTTAAAATTTATTATTCGGAAGAATGTAAGAGCGTGCGTGTGTCAGGGACCGGCACCACCTGCAGAAGCGCGGCAAGGTGCGCGACTTCGTGTGCCAGTGCGGGCTCGTGCTGCACTCGCGCGCCAAGCTGCGCTGGCACCAGGAGACGCACGCCGAGCGGCCGCGCGCCTGCGACTACTGCAGCGACAAGTTCGTGCACGCCGCCTCCCTCACGCGCCACGTGCGTCGCGCACACAACCAGTACTTCCTCGCAGAGCGCCTGCAGGGCAAGCACGAGAACGTGCAGTGCCCCGTCTGCAAACAGGTACGTCTCTTCCTCTCCACTCTAGCGGTTTAGGCTCGTTCCAAATATATTTTCACACGGAATGTTCGCGTACATTACAGGTGTACCTGAGATCCAATCTGCGGACGCACCTGCAGACGCACAGCGGCCAGCGGCCCTTCGTGTGCATCATCTGCAACAAGTCGTTCACGACGAAGTGGAACCTGAAGCTGCACCGCTGGACCCACATGTCCCGGTCGGCCAAGCCGTTCAAGTGCACGCTGTGCAAGGGCGCCTTCATCCGGCAGTCGGAGTACATCTCGCACATGAACGCGCACAAGTCGGTGCGGCCGTACACGTGCAACTACTGCGGCTGCCAGTTCATCCGCAAGTACAACTGCCAGCGCCACGTCCGCGAGCACGAGAGCGCCAAGAAGTTCGTGTGCAAGGTGGCGGAGTGCGGCAAGTCGTTCCACCGCTCGTACTACCTGGCCGAGCACATGAAGGTCCACAGCGGCGCGCGCCCCTTCGCCTGCGCCGTCTGCGGCAAGACCTCCAGCAACAAGTCCAACCACAACAAGCACGTCAAGATCCACCACGCGCGCGAGCCCGTCGCCACCGAGGCCTAGCCCCCGACCTTTCTTATAACGATCCACAGCGTCGCGGCTCTCCTCGAGCTGCTTGTAAATATCTAGTTCAATTTGAATTTATTGTAATTGTTGTAAATACAGGACCAAGCGTGTACATTTCGGGGAGGACTGGTGTGGCGGAGAGCGTTTCGAGGTGAGGAGTGTGGCGCACCAGACGTTGTAGACCATTACTTCAGCGTGAGCAGGACTCCTAGAGGACCCACGAAATGTTTACAGTGCGTGATCGTACGCCGAGTTTGTTTTTGTGCCTTATAGACTGAGCAGCGGGGCTCATATTGAACACTCCCCTGCTCGACGATATAGCGGAACTATCTCGGACACAGCTGTAGCAGGCGACTTGTGTTACATGACGTAGCTTTCTCCCGCGCAGGCGGGCTCTGGTTGTGACATACATTTAGTGCGCGTGTATAACGTATGGTGCGTCAACCTATGTAATTAAATAGTCAAATTAATAAAGGGCATTTCGGTATAGGTACCCCGCTACACTTATATTTTTTTCTACTTACATATATTTAATTAATTTCACTATGCTTCCATTCTATAAGCTTTGTGGCTGCAGTTATGGCTCTCTGCATCTGACCAATGCGCCGTTATTTTTTTATAACAATGAAAAGTAGGTTAAAGATAATAATTGTAACATATTTTAACCAATTACTTGAAATTTAATCTAGTTGATATTGAGTGATACATAAGTATTTAACAACGACTGAATTACTTTATATACCCGTTAGAGGTAGCGCTCAAAAACAGGTAGTTATTATTAATAGTTTGTTTAAAAATAACAAAGATATTGGAGCGCCGTGCCGGTGCAGAGCAGCCATGGCCGTCAGTCGCGGGCTGTAACAAGTAACTTTATGAAGATTTAGTCAAATGGACATACCCTAAGGGTGATACTAATAACTCATTGTAAAAGTATTTTAAACATTTACGTTATTTAGAATAATTTATGTAAATATCAATTTAATTACATTTAATTTATTATTATTACTTTTTGTATTGTTACTACGTATTATTCCGTTTTTTTTTACATAAGGTGTGAGGTGATTGATTACAATGTGTGTTCTGACAGGTAATCGTGGCCATTGTATTCTCAAGTCGCAGTGCGAAAGGGACACTACATGAAATGTAGGCTCTCTCTCTCGCACTCGAACTGTGATAATAAATACAATACTTATGGTTGTTTTCAATTTGGAGTTGTTACAAGATTACGAAAATTACTAAGATACATTTATTTTGTATGTATATAAACTTGATACAGCTTTTAGTTGAAAACAGACTGGATACGGGAAGCACATGTTACCAAAATTAAAGCGTTTGAGACGCGTCTATGACATTTTTATTGGAGGGATTTATTATTAATTATTTCGTTTCACAAATATTTGTATGTTTACTTCGGTATCTGCCTAAACATTAGAAGAGTAGTGCAATTACAGCATTTGTTGTTAACTTATTGTTATTTATCATTGACGAGATAAACTTATAGTAACTGCACGGTCGCGTGTAATCAAAATTGCAGAGATATAAGCAATAATGTGATTTATATCAATAAATTATTTATTTTTTAACAAGGAGTTCCTCTTTGCAGATTTTGGTTATACGGGACTGTTGGGGTCCATTGACATAGAAGTGTCAAACCAAGGAGGTTTTTAATCACCTCTAGAGTCCGTGTTTCATAACAATTTGTTCTCAAATGTACTTTAGGTATATTTTTCTATAATTTGATATATATTCTGTCATGAATCACACCAGCTGTGTTCATATTGCTCGGGGCGGTACAAAGCGAGGCTCGACAATTAACGGTTATTCAAATATTTTATACTTTATTACGATAGGTATAGGTTGAAAATAGGATAACGTTACTTCACAGTAGAACTATGATCTGGCGTCTGTACTTAGAAGTTATAGTTTTTTAATGAAATTGTAAATGTTGTTAGTTGTGCAAAACTTTTGAATTTCATGTTGAACTTGATTTAAGTTTGTGAGTAAAAGCAAATTTAAAGACGAGCGGGCTTAATTGGATTTTTTCTAATAGAGTTTCATCAGATTTAGCAACCGATTTCTGTTATATCCTTTTTTCAGATAAATAGTAAAAAAATTAAGTTATTGTAATGTCGCCGGGTCTCGCAAAGTTCCGAGCAAAATTATAACGCTATATATATTTTACACATGAAACAATGATCTCGTATTTTATAAACACAATGTAAAACAAATTGTTTTTTTGTTTGTTTATGTTGTATCGTTACGTAGCGCACGATTGCTGGCTGGCCACTGAGGAATGAAATGAAAATTTTAACAATTTTTATATTTTAATACTCAAGTTTAATTACATGCGATGGAAAATCTGTACGTGATTTTAACTGCCCACATATCTGTTTAAAGCAAGAAGAATGTACAGTGTCAGTCAGTCAGTCAGCTTCAATCTGCGCTACTGCTAAACACAAAGTATGCGATTCCCTTGCTCTGTTTTGATTACTATGGAGTTGTATGTTCTACAAACACTTGAAATTCAAACCAATAAAAGAAATAGATTTATGCTTTTCAACTTAGAACAAATATGGCATTATTTTTGCCCAAGAATTGTGCTAAATTGCAGTTAATTAATAATTTGTCCATTCATAAGGTTGAATTTAGATAAAACCGTCCGCTGAGAGTGGAGGGGAGTCGCATACTGTGTGCACAGTTTGGACGACGTAATAGCTGTAATCTTGCTCGTAACTCAGTTATTAGAAGAAATTGGTTATTTATTTTATTTTCATAAGTTCTTAGTTTACTTGTACATAATGTTAGGTAATTTTATAATTGATCGCAAATGTGGGTGGTACACCAAATTCAGTTCGGCGGGGTCACTGAACTGAACAGTTTGTGTCTGCAATAAATTATTATTAAGAATTTCATTTTGTACGTTTTATTTTACGCAATTCTTATTACACCTAGCGGTGGGTCCTGCCATCTGGCGGGAGTGTAGCACAACTTCCTGAGTGACAAATATTATTGTTGTGTAAGTGATGCATATCAAATATAACAATTTGTTTGACCAGAGCGATAACCAGGAAGTTTACTAACGTTACTTGATTTATTGTTTCGTAATCTCTTGAGGTCTGTTTCCCTTTTCCTATTGCGTAGTTGCTGACGATATCAGATTCCAAACAATAGATGCACGCACGGGCGCTGCGCATGTCGATGGCTAGGCAGACCGTACCTACAACTCTACACTTGTAAGCACCAACTTCTGCGAATTCAATTCATGGATATCCACTTCGTTATCATTATTTCTCTAGAGGTCGTCTCAGATATAATATCGGATCACTGCTACTGATATATAAACATAAATATTATAGTTATGGTTATTTTCCATTAAGACTTTATTTTTAGCTCGTCATGCGACAATAGGCTTACGTCAATGCGCTTTAGATATTTGCGTGGTCTGACTGTGAGCGGGTAGGCTGACACTGGACCGCTCCGCTTTATGGAGTAGGTATGGCACTAGCATAAGTGAGAAGAGCTGATGTCGAGCATACTCTGCTCCGCTTTAATTTTTTTCTTTTTGTAAGGGGAGAGTCATCAAATTACTTCTCTCGCCTAGGGTTGGGCGGACTTGTGGGCGAGAGGGAATGGCAGACTCTTACTACTAAAAACCTTTTTTTCCTTTTCCTGCTCTAGGCCGAGGCCATGGTGCCTTATTGCGCTTGCCCCGCTACCCCGACTGAAACAGGCGTCCCTAGCTGCGCGCCTTTTGACCGCTATGATTGGCTATAGACAACAAACGCAAAGTAGGCTAATTCGCCAATGTAGAGGATTTCCAACAAGAAAACTCCCGTAAGTTACCCGAAGAAGCTGTAAGGCGTTCAAGATATCTCGTCTCAAGAAGTAATGAATCACATGCACTCAAATAAAATCCTTTATTCAATAGCTGGCAGGAATACAAACTGGCACAAAAGTCTTGGTAGAATGTCATTTCTTTCTTTTTTCGGATCGTTTTGGCGGCTTCAGCATGTTGGCGTCCACTGCAGCTGCACCGCCCTAGGGCCAGCCATGCTCGCATCGATACCCACTGTAGCGAGTGCCAGGCCATAACCTATCTTTTTTTGGATCAAGTTGCAACACCATTACCTCCCGAAATTGCTGCAACTCTTGTAAGCCAGGATCTAGGTCCATTAAATAGAATCAACAAGAACCGTAACACTGAAGTCCGGTGCATCCCAAGGACATTAATGACTGTCTTGGATCCCGCAACGAAATAAAAGAAGATTGATATTCAATCAATAATGTTTGAGGATGAATAATTTAACTAAGTACTAGATTCCTTAATACCTCAGCAAAACCATTAGGCCTTAAATAAGAAGCAGTTATGCTCGCAAAGAGGGAGGCGGCCCGCGTGAGGGAGCAACCTCCTCCTCACGCCTCTGCCGCCGAAACAGGCAACACTACGGGCGTCGGGGATCAAGGGACGATCTCCGGCTACCGTAAGCGCGGGTATGCGGTCGGCGAGTAAGGGTAGCTCGCCGCCCGAGCAGAACCAGACCCGAGCGTACGGCGCGTAGCGTTCCGCGCGCGCCTCAAAGAGCCAATAGACCACCACAGACGGGGCCCTATAGGGTTGATGTTCAACCGGGGTGGCGGGGTAAGTGCAATGACGCACCGCGACCTCGGTCCAGGGAGCAGGGGGGTTTTTAGTCAGTAAGAGTCTGACACTATCTTCCGGCCCCCCCTGGGCGGGAGCAGTCATTTGATGATTTTCCCCTCACAAAAAAGTCCTTAAATAAAAAATAGCTGATAGAAAAGTAAGTAGATAGTACTAATTCCATACCTTACCTACATAAGTAGAAACTTACACTACGCGTAAACTCGTCCAAATTACAATTCTTAATTACCACATTCGCGCTCACAGGGGCCAAGACCTTATTAACGTAATTAAAGAATCCAATATTATAAGAATTACAATTTATTGCCGCAATAAATAAAATCATATCTATACAATCGTATCGGGTAACTGACCTCTGAAACGCCTCTGAATAAGAACAAATGCTTTAAAAGTAACGTCAATAGTGCGAGATAACCTCCGCAAACGAGTTTTGTTTCAATTATCTTAATATGGACATACTTATAATGACTGCCTCCTTCGTGACTTATGTTAATTCATTATTCTGATAATGATTAGCACGCTACGCGATGCCGGATTTTTTTACATTTATTACGCTTTATTTTATTTTATGATAGGCAATTTATCGTAAATTACATTGAGTAATTTTGGCTTATCTACTTATTAATTGGTAAAAACTGATTTCAATCATATTTCTGATATGTTTTTTTTTGTTGAGGTTTATGTACCTACTGTGGCTAAGTATGATTGTGTAATCAGTCTCTGATATCTAAGTTTAAAGTATTACTTAGCTAATTAGGTGATTAGAATCAGAATTAACTTATAATCTTTTTTTACACTCAGCCATAAGTGTAAAAATTGCCCTTTAGAGAAATTAGATCTACAGTACCTATAGTTTGCTTATAATACATACCTACATAGTTCACTATTTCTCTAGCTGTAGCCATTGCTACGTATCCAACTAAGTTCCAGCTACGGCGTAGGCCTGTCTACGAGATTTTTACACGTAGTAACAACTAGTAAAAACACCTTTCCGACTATATTAAGGTGAACTTGCAGGCCACGGCCTTAATAATAAAGGTAAACGAGGCGAGTTGTGTTTTAGAGTTTAAGTATCTACCACGTCTAAATGATAACATTGAATCAAAGGACGCTACGGAAACAGTATATGTTACATAATATGCACCTAAGTACATAAGAAGCTTATATTACTTAATCATAGAGACCTACGTAAGCTAGAGTGTAACGCACCCATACCTACGTAATTGTCAGCAAAACAATATCTACTGTGATAAAAGACAACAACATTCACGTAAATCGTTTTGTAAGAAAATTCCAAAAGTGCCTTATCTGACGGCAACGCGGCAAGTACGCACTGTGCTATCTGCTGCCACATTGGAAAAAAAGTACAGAAGTCCCGTCCGCCCATGGTAACTCTGTATTGTTCATCATGCATCGTTACACGTGCCCACTTACAGCAAGTTTAGCATATCCTTCTTGTTTTTGAGACATTGTGAGATTTGGTTAATAGGAATTTGTGTTTAGAAAAGAGGCTACTTTCAAATAGTTCGGAACTCTATCTGTAATCTGCCTTTTTATCAAGCTTCACTGTCGAACTAACTGACAGATTTATTATTATATTTTAACGTTTTAAAACAACCCACTTAAAGTTTAGTTGGAACAAATAAATAAATAAATGATTTTGACTTTGACTTTTACTTCACGCCCGTGTCGTGATGGAAATAAATAGATAGGTAATTTGTATTATTTGTAACAAGTTGTTCTACTAGAGTTGGACTGCGTTATCAGTGGCTTACGTCAGGCAATTGTCATAGTTGTGGTGTTTATAAAAAGCGTTGCATGGGTCAGTGAGACACACCCTAACACGTGCCTGTGTTTACATGCCTCACGCTGTATTATTGTTACTGATACCGATACTAAACTCGATAACTGATTGGCAACTATTTTGTTTAGAGAATTAGTTGAGCAATGCTTTTAGGAAACACTGGGACAGTACGCATGTAGTGTGCGCTTGTCTATCTTAGTTCTATGTGTGTGTGTTAACACGTGTTTTGCGGCATTGCCCGGCTATGCAAAAGATGGCGGACGGCTTACGAAGTCAGTTGATCCTTTGAATGGGAGGAGGAAAAGAAAACGAATATATAGGTAAATTTAATTTGACAACAACCCGATAGGA